TTACATACCACCACTATATGTTTTGTCTGTGTTTATCAGCTATTCCATAAGTTATTATAATTTCCGATATTGTAATACCTATAGGATAGGTTCAGTTGCTCAATAGTMAATAGTAAACGCATCGYTTGCATTATAATAATATAAGACAGTTGAGTTTCGATAACAATACGCCTAACTCCAGAAGACTTGAATTTTATTCGAGTCCCTTGAAAATACAATTACGATACTTGCAGCAATGTATATTACTAAAAAAAAAAAAAAAAATTTGGGAAAAAATTGGGTAAAAAATGGAGATAATTCCGCTAAATATGTAAAATAAAAAAAAAATATCTAAATATGCCCCTGGAGTACAAGTATAAATATGATGTATAATGTATAGTTTTTTTATATTTTACATATTTGTATTATAATTTATAATTTAGTGCACATTAAGCATTACACAGACAGAGCTTTAGATGCTTTTGGGTTTCACTGTATAAATCTGCCCCTGGATAAAATTGCATACAAAATGAACACAAATGGGTAATAAATAAAAAAAAAAAAAACAAAAAAAATTAAAAGTAAAACCTATAGTGGTACCTAATAATTTATTAAATACATTCAACTATTCAAGTTTAAAAAATGAATATACATTCTATGAAAACGAATGATTGTATTAAACCTATCATTAATAGGTAATAATTACCTCATTACAACTTTAATAATGATACAAATGTCTCAGTTTTACAAGAAAAAACATCAAGCAATTTGTTTAATTTTTATTAATGAGAAGCACAATTCTATATCAACTATATTAAACAAGTGGTTTATACATTTAAAGATAAATTGTATTATTAAGAGAACAAATCAGTTCAAATGTTCAAAATGTTTATTCTTGTAGGTAATGATATGTTTCATAAGATGTTATTTCCATAATGTATGAAACAATGACAAGTTAGGTATTATTTTTAAAATTTGCAAATTTAATATAGTTGATATAGAATTGTGCTTCTCATTAATAAAAATTAAACAAATTTCAAAATGTTTATTCTTGTAGGTAATGATATGTTTCATAAGATGTTATTTCCATAATGTATGAAACAATGACAAGTTAGGTATTATTTTTAAAATTTGCAAATTTAATATAAATTAAACTTATAATAAATATTTACAATATCATACAAAGTAGAATAAAAACAAAATTATTAATTAATCATATAATATAAATATTTTTGTAACTCACAAATAATATTATGGTGAGTACACAAGTGATGAACAAAATCCATAAAAAAGAAATAGTTAACACATATCTTAAGAAAATCATTGAAATCTTATGATATATTTATGTTAATAATTAAAAATTTAAATACATGCAAAATAAAAAAATATTACTAATAATTGAAACTGATTTAATTATTTCATTTTGACTAATTTTTTTTTTTAATATTGGTTCAATATTAAATAGTAATAGAAGACCGAGGTATTTTTTTTATAAATATATATAGTTATTTTAAATAAATAACAAATGTAAGTGATTATTAAAACTCATAGAAATATAAACAAGATTTATTTTTTTAAACAAATATTATTTTATATAGTTACAGGTTTAAAGATTATGTGAAATATATGCATGTACTCAAGTCTTATAACAAAACCATGATATTCAGTGTTAAAAATGAATATTTTAAAATTACATTTTTAGGCTATTTATTTAACAAACGTTGTCAACAACTAAATTATACAAGTGTTGTTTTTTATTGGAATAATCAGAAATATGTACACATTCTTACCAAAAACTGATTCATACATTAGTTATCTACCCAGAATGCACAGTTGATTAATTAATTTTCATCCATATTCTAAATAGTTGGTTAGGAATAAGTCATAACTCATAATAGAAAAACTTTTTATTTTTCGTGGATATTATTTCATATAAATATTTATGCGTTTTAAACATTTGTTGAAATAGTAACATTAATCCCTAAATTTCCATTATCTGCAAAGAGCTGTGCTGTACTTGTATCAAATACTAAACAGTCTGAATTCAAAATTGCTGTTGAAACTCCTTCATGTATACTTCTAGGTGTTGCTTCCCATGCTAAACGTCTTCGATGTCCATTAAGTTCTAGTCTATAAGCAAAATTTTCACATTGCTTTCGGCTTCCAATCAATTGTACAATAGCAAAGAA